AGGACAATGTTGTCATTTTATAAGATTTGAAAAATTCTAAAATGGTACCTAGGGTCTAAATTGAGATTTTGAAATTCACATATACTAATTTGTCATTTAGTAATTTTGAGGGTATTTTACTGTCTTTTTTCCTATTTAAAATCAGCTATGATCTCGTAAAACAAAATATTTTGATAGGACGAATATTACTGCATCCAATTTTTAATATAAGAACTAGTTGGCTAACTTGAATAAATTAAAAAATTAATTAAGTTAGTTATTAGTAATAAATATGTGTTTTCTTTCTTACAATACCCTTATCATTTTTGTGTATTAACTGAAACTACAATTTGATGAAATCTTTAATATATGCAACTACTATAAGGACTATGTTAAAAAATAAACAAATATGAAAGACAGAGTATATAAAAATCTTATATCTAAAACTAAATTAAAAATTAAATTAGTTCTTAAATTATATTAAAGACATGAGATAGTGATTAGTTATAATCAGCTTGGGAAGGACAGGTATTCATCTCCACTGATGCTGCCTCCTATTATCCGCATGCTTTAATTTTGACCCTGTCTCCTCAATCATGCGCACAGTGACAAAGAAGCTTAGATTCTTTGATTGATTTATTAATTAATTAATTTTCTTTACTCTTCAACGTTTTTCTCGTGGTGAGAGTGAGAGGGGTCATGTGTGAATAGGGTTGGAAAAAAATAAAAAAGAGTAAATTAGGAACATGCACGGAGTAGTTGATAGTTGATACAGTGAAAGTAACCAATAATTAATGAGAATAAAAATTTGAAAAATATTGGAAATTTGATATAAGATCTCTTGTAAATGGGAACACACTCTGCCTAAACAAGTTGTCTTATCCCGTTACAAAATTTATTACCTAAACATATATGAAATTTATTTAAAAAGCCAAGTGCAATTCATTCTTCTTCTTCTTCTTCTTTTTTCCAGTTACAGGTAACCTATCTTTAATTATGTGCAAAACAGAAGATATTTATGCTCAACCGAAAAAAAAGAAGTCAAGAACCTAAATCTTTAGGTGTCTTTGAGTAATAAATTTTGTAACGAGAGATTTAAGTAATTTTCCCCTAAATTCTTGATTGATTGCTTGATTAATTGATCATTACTCGTCAGAGTTTTTCCTGTGGGTAACCAAAAAAAAAAAATTGCTCCCTCCATTCCTTTTTATAATAAGATCTTAATAACCAGATTGTGTAGTTTAAAAAAAATCTGCTAATAATATTTAAAAGTAATAAATATGTAAGAAATCTACTTTTCCTTCAAATAAATTTTTTTTATAAGAAGGTAAGAAAGAAAGAAATAATGAAAAAATGGCAAAAAAGAATATATGAAAAAAGAAGATAATGAAAGAGAATAGAATAATTAGGAATAAAATTGATAAAATATACATAATGTTTAAGTAACACTAAACTAAATTTTATAAAAAGACTAAACCAATTTAAAAATTGGAATCTTATAAATAAGATGGAATACCTTGCTTTAGAAGATACAATAAGGAGTGTGCAAATAGAAGGAAGATCCTTTCATCAGACAAGATAAATAAAAACACTTGACTAACTCGCTTTTATATGAATGATAATGATGATGTAGGAGCCAAATCGCCCATAGGAAATTAAAAGAGGTACAAAACAAAGGGGTTAATTTTAAATAGGCTCACGAATACTTCCTTCGCGTTGGGATGAGTCTTCTATCCTTAAAAGTTAGAAGCACAGAAATATTTAATAAAAATTGGTCCAATTGATAACAAGTCACTTATAACTAATAAAATTATAAGTTTGAATCCTATTGGCTGTGTAACAAACTTATTGGTGGACAATTTGTAAATATTTCTGTAAATACTTTCTGAATCTAGAAGAATGCCTTAATTTTGATGAGCCCATGGAACCCAACTTATTTAAATTTTTTTATTAAAAAAAGCATATAAATAACTAATAACTTTTTCGTATCAATTAATTAGTATATATTAGAAAATTTTTATTTATTAATTTACCTTCATCATACTAAATATCTTATTTTTGATAAACTTGGTTTGAAAATTTTTTTATTTTAAATTTTTGAAAATATTTATTTGTTAAATATTCTTATCATATTGGGAAAGAAATTTAAGTTAGTTAATGCAGACATAAAAAAAGTTTATTGATAGTTTGATTAATTATTTTAATAAACATACAATGTTTGTAGAAAAAATAATTTATATGATCCATCAAACATACATATTACACTATATGATGAATAAAAATGTGTTTAAAATATGTTTTTATCTATTTAACAGTAATCTATATAAATAAGTTTTAATAAATGCGATGAAAAATTAAAATATAAAATTTTATAATATAATTAAAATTGATAAACTTTATAATATATTAGAACGTTAGAGGATATGTATGGATTAGAATTATTTATTCGAATATATAAATGTTTAAATAATTCTTATATTAAAGAGGGGTGTTTAAAAACAAGTGGCAATATTTATTTAGGTTTTTAACAGAATATTTCGCAATTAGCTAATGGGTTATAGCTTATCATGTCTCAAACGCAAGTAGCTCGCATGATAAAATATATGAGTAGTGCAACACAATTTTTGAAATGGCAATAAATATATCTATCTTTTGCTAATATAATATTTCGTTATTAGTTAATAAAAAGAACATACATTAAGTCACTGACTTCTTAAAGGTGTTCAAAGGGGTGGTTTGATATGATTCCTATATTTTCTTCCAAATCAAACTTTACAGTCTTCTCTTCTGTTTGTTTGACGGGTTTGAACAAATATCAAAACTTATCATATACACACATACACATAAGAGCAAGTTAACACTTAATCCCAATGTGATTTATAAGTTAAATATATATATATATATATTGTAGCCAAATTTTTAACCAAACCAAACCGATCGGTTTACACAAAAAATGATACTTGATGCATATATAAAAGAGTATATATACATCCTTATATGCATGCGTATTTAAAAGAAACAAAGTTAGCTACAACTTTTCTTTTTTAATAAACAGACCTTAAGGTAGTATTGTAGTTTATTGAATGTAGCCATATAGGGTTAAAGTTTGCTAAATTAATTTTATAATGCATCAAACAACCCAAAGTATTTTTTAACAGCACTTAGCATTCTAATTTTAAGATTCTCATTACTACTGCGTGAGAAAATACTTTAAAAATAAAATTTATGAAAAAAAATTTAAAATATTATATAACTGCTACTAAAACTATACTTTGAAAGATTCAATGCGTGCCCTAAAAATTTCTTTAAAATATTGAATATTCCTAAAATTATGAACAACATTCCCAAATGCACCAAACAATTCAATTTTTAGACCCTACAAAATTCTAAACTTTTTTATCAGTGTGCCCGCATAATCAAGACAAGGGTTTAATACGTGTCCCTAAAATCTTAGGCCCTTATCCTCTCTTTATTATGTGAATACTACGTGGTAATATCCCACTGTAACAAAACATTTTTTAAACACCATGATTATCATCGCGTGCTTTCTTATAATGAAAAAAATTAAAAAAGGGTCTTTATCTCTTATCCTTTTAAATTTTTTTAGAATATCTCAACACCATTTTAATGCGCACGTGATATTATTACTTATTAAATTATAGTTTATGGATACTCTTTAGGCCAATAGTTTATGCGGACGCCTAACCTGAACTAGGTATGTGTGAAACTTTTAAATCTAAGATTGATATATTATAAATTTGAAGTAACTTCAAAATTTTATACTAAATTTACGAAATTTGACATAGATTTGACACTTATTTTTATCAATTTATTATTGATTATATAATCGTTTATTTTAACCAATCTTCCAAAACTACTTCTGAAAAAAATCATGTAATTTTATTTGATGACTAGTAAGCTGAAATTTAATTTTTTTTTTAACTCAAGATGAGATTAAATTTAAGTAAAGAATGAATTGTTAATACGTATCATCATAATTGTCAATCCTTACATATTAAGTTGTCAATAACTACTCTTTCAATTGTCAATAGAAAATTTTTTTTAAAAAAATAATAATAAGGGTAATTTAGTAATTAAACAAATAAATTCTCTTGCAATAAGATCCTTTAGGATTTCAGAATAATTTGATGATTTTAAAGGACTTTTTTATATTTAATTATCATGAGAATTTGGTGCAATTTTCCCTTTCTTATTTGGTTAGACCCATTTTATCAGGTCAGCTCACAGTGCTCTCTCTGATTTCAGAATGAAGAGGAAGGTGTTTGGGAATGTAGATGTGGAGAAATCTGAACGCGGTCTGGGGCTTGGTGGTCTATTGCCAGCGATTACAGGAAAACTGAAGAGGAAGGTGTTTGTGAAGGTTAGGAATGAGCATTTTTAAATATTTTTTTACTCACAAAAAGACCAGAGTAGGATGAAGTGACAGGTAAGTTTAATATATATAACTTGCTTTTCTTTTAACAATGATTTGGCATTTGATAATATCTTCCCAATTTGAAATTTACTCCCTCTGGTCACTACTGTAATAAGCCTTCCATAATTAATCAATGGTCCCTAATATAAATCACCTAGAGGATTATCAATAATATTTTTCCAATTTTATTTTTATTATAAATTACTAAAACCTGAAAAAACTAGTTAAAATTAGTTACTATTGTTAAATATGTCCATATTTTTAATTATTTTTTACCATTCCATGTGAGGATCTATATACATTATCAGATAGATTCCGAACCTTCGTTATAAGGAAAACAACTTTCCAACTTGCTAAAGTATACAAAAACACCGAATAGTTTCACAACTTTATTTATTGAAGTGGACAAAGATTACATGACATCCATATAGAACTAGACAAGTACACATGAGACGTGGTAGTCACAGACACTACACAGGTGCAAACAACAAAGGTACATACAGAACTTAAAAGACACACACATAATTTATTCATTATTATATTGTAGACAACAGAAAGGCCAAGCAGCTAGCTCATCGATCCCTGATCATGGAGTCCATTTGGTTTTCAAAAGTGGGGTCCCAATCTCGCCATTCAAGTTCTCTGATGCGTGGTGAGAATGGATCCCATGGCAACACTTGTAGCTAACTGTTTCAACTTCCATGATCTTCTTCTTACAAGTTGGCTCAGGGCAAGTGACAGTGAAAGGAACTCCTGATCGTATGTTGCTCACTTGGAAGTGGAAACAAGGAGGAGGAACCGTGAGCCTTTTTTCATTGTAATACTTTATAAATGCATTATCAAAACCTTGAAGAACTTGCACATTCACTCTCCATTCATCGAAATCCTCCAGTACGCTCGTTACCAGGGGATCGAACCCTATAACAAGCACGTCGGGGCCTTTGCTGAGGAGAGCCCAAGTTTTCTCGTTTTTGTATGACAGTAAGGTTTCGATATCTTTAAGAACAGTGTCTTGTTGGTGGTTCGGCTTTTGAAGTCGGCTTAGCATCGAGTTGGTGATGTTGACCCAGAAATTGGTTGCAGAGGTTTGATCAAGCTTTGAGAGGTTGAAATGCTCGATTATGGCGTCTGCTTGCTTGATGATGGGGTCCTTCTTAATGGAATCCAACAGCGTACCAATCCTCTGAGTCCCAGCAACGTCAGTCCCTCCATAAATGAAGATGTATGCGTCACTTTGAATCTGCAAACCCAGTGATCCATTAATAATCCAATTCATATAATTCCTTGATTTTTAAGTTGTAATGAGTTAAAGTCTAGGAATTGAATCGATAAATGATTAAGAAAAAGTTTAGGAAGATAGTACTAACCCATCTCCCAATATCTGGAAGAACTTTGTTTGCTTCATTCCAAAACCACTTCCAGTGAAGAGAGAGTCTTTCTTCGTCCTCATGTCGAAATGGGAAGGCTTCAATCTTCCAGACGAAGATCATGTGCATTGCATTATTGTGAACAATATGACCTCTAGGGTTTGTGACAACCACGATAGGCTTTCCCTGGTAGTGCCACTTCTCTTCTAATACCTTCTTGCCTTTAATCACGAATAGGTTCTGTAAGACGTACCATGGCATGTTTGATTTCAGATGCTTGAACTTCTCCTTCTGATCATCTGTTATCTTATGATCATCGGTTTCCTCCACTACAGGAACCCATAGGATTTCATAATTTTGCTTCTCTTTGTCTTTTTTGAATGCGTCATGGATAGACTTCAAAACCCAAATCTCGTCTTCGATGTTGTCCAGACCAGAAATGAATAGCAAAAGATTCTTCGCCCTCAAAACATTGTTGCTTACCTAAAATTTAGCCCACAAAAAAGCACATCTCATTTAGGCCCTTCATATAATTAATTTAATATTGACATTTTAAACTAGTTTTAAAATATTGAGAACTTACCACTTTTTGAGTGGTGTTATCGAAGATTTCAAGCTCAGTAATTTCCTTGGAGGAGATGAGAGCCCTCAAAAGATCGACAATTCCGGAAGGAGACACAAACACTTCCTCTCGCCATTTTCGGTCCAGAAAATCATCTGAAAATTTCAATGAATTAAGCTAGCATTGTTAGCATTGGATATATATACATATATATATATATATATATATATATTATCTGGAAAACGACAGCTGTAATTAAGTCGGAGAAAATCAATTTAATAAAATTTATGTTTCAACAAAGTTTTTGTTGAAATTAGATATTCAAGTCATATATAAGTCACTCTCTTTGATTTGCAATTAAAACTCTAATATTTGTAGATGTCTGATGATTAAGCTTGGCAAAGCTTGAAAGCAAGTTGAAAAAATCCACAAGCAGTTCTTTTCCGTAACCTTCTTCACGTTTAATCACAGCCAACTCATTACTCAATCTCATGCTAACATGATTGAGCTTCCCAACAACTTCGGATTTGATGTTCCAATCCCTACATCAATTTGAAAAACCACATGAGGTTAATTAATGGAACTCCGCAAACACAATGTCTATATTATTTTAAAAAAATTCTAAAAAAAGAAAGTAGGTAAAGAGCTTTAGATTCCTCCCATCACTAATTGAGGAGATAATATTAATAAGAAGAGAAAGACAAACATAGAAGTGGGACCACCTACTATTAAAATACTTATCATGTAGTGAAGTAATATTTAAGGGAAAACATAATTTATTTGTCACGAGTGGTATCCATCATCTTTCTCAGTCTCGGCTTTTTTGCTCCATTTGAAAAAGCTTATGTATAGCTTTGGAACAAGCAAAGCTTATAGTCTCAGGTACACATTCACAAATTCAAAAGCAGATTTGCAATTTAATCCTTTTTTTTTTTGGTTATCAGGCAAAAAAGGAAAAAAGCTTACACCGATCGAAGCTGGTTTCATCTCCTCTATTTATCATCTTACCAGAAGAGATCTATATATGTGTGGACGAAAGAATAAAGATGATGAAAGAAAAGATACTCACAGTTCAGTCATTCGATTAGAACAAGTAAGAAGGGCCAAGATTGCCCAATAAGCATAGAGTTCTCGGGGAGCAGTATACAGAGTTGGGCTAGGAGATTTCTCAGCGATCTTCTTCTCCAATGTTGAAATCCCCTCAATAAGTTTGAATGTAACGTCCACCAACGTGTTAATGAGGTCTAAGTTGTTCTTGCTAGGCTTGGCTTCTTCCCCAAGCCTGAAGATATGGAGTTCAAGAGCCTTTTCCTTGGAACGTTCCATGAGAGAGAGACGCCAAGTTTCACCAAAGTCCAGAGCGAAAGCTGAGAGAGCTATCACTGCCTTTGCGTCCCATGAGTAGCTTTTAAGCTTCTCCAGAATTCCCACTACTGTTTCGTGTGCCGTAGATTTCTCAAAAGGCTTGCATGTCATCTATAACATCAATTTATTAGGATCGAGTCGCTTCCATTCCACCTATTTTGTTATGTTTTCGAAAAGAAAGATATGAAAAGTGAAAATAAAGGACAAGGAAATGAAGAAGAATGACCTGACAAGCAATTTCTTTGAGGGTGCCGAAAGGTGGCATGAAACTGGACTGTGGAACCTTATCTTCCACGAGTTCAACAGCTTTGGGACGCTGTCAGAATAATATACATACAAACACTTACAAACAGATGATAAACAGAAAGTATTCGTAAGAAAAATGGGGTTTAAATGAAGAAATTGAGAACCTTGAGATCGAGGGAGGTGCCGATGTGAGTGGAGCTCTTGACAATGTTGGAGACAACATTGTAAAGAGAACCGACATCGTACTTGGGGGCCTGCGAGTCATGGATTCCGATGATGTGGTTGGAGATGACTTCATCAGTTGCAGTGAAAGGGTTGATCTGTTCCAACGACGAAGATGAAGAATTGAGGGCGACCATCACTGGTGAATCTAACATCTTAACCGACGACATGTCTGCCAGTGTCGGATGATATGATATAAGAAGAAGAGAATATAATAAGAAGACGATTAGTTGCTGTGCTCTGCTTGCTGCTTCTCATGGCGTATTTATAGGCCATAAATCGCATGTGGTATAATTATAAATAATAATAAATTAATGAATATATAATAATAATAGGATGTGAACGATTCAAACTACTGTGTCATCCAGACCCTTCTGATTGAAATCTGGATATGGTTTTCATTATCTTATTATCTAAGAAGGATGATATGAATCCAGTGAAGACAAAACCTTAGATGTAGACAATAAAGTGTACATGAAGACATAGTGATCCTAAGCGATGTGAAAAAAATTCTCATAAGCAATTAGAAAAAAATTACTCTTTTGCAAACCGAGAAGTCTCTGCTCATAAACACTTTTAAACAACTAACCCAATCTAATCAAAACTCAAGATGACGGGACTGTCTGATTGAAGATAGAAGATTAAAAATACTACCTCCAATCCTTAATATTAAAACTAGTTGACTAATTTGAGTAGATTAAATAAACTAGTTAAATTAGTTATTTGTAATAAATAAGTGTTGTTTTTCCTAAAATATCCTTAACAATCAAGTGTATTGGCTTAAACTATCATGATTACAAAGACTACTTTGAAAAAAAAAAGGATAAATATGAGAGACAAAATAAATTGGAGTCTTATACTTAAAACCAAAATAAAAGTCAAATAAACTCTTATATTAAAGACTGAAAGTAGTATAAGTTAGCAATATTTTAATAATCACGTGACAAAGCGTAATGGGTAAAATTTTATTTCGGTGCAGTTATAAGTTGACACGTAGGCACGGAGCATACCATGAGAATCACTATTCACCTTCTTCTTTATCAGTAAATAATTATTTATGCTTTTGGCACCTTCTACGCATCCCATTATTGCGAATTCGATTCTAACAGTGCTAGTAATGAAAATATTCATGTGCCTATCAATAAAATTAAAATGCTAAAGGGGAAAATGACACTTTGAAACATATACTTTAGTCTCAGTCTGGCATAGAAGTTTAAATTTCAGCTTAGTAAAATACATAATTTTTTTAAATATTAATGTCTAGTTTTAGAAGATTAGTTACGATCAATTATATGGTCAGTAATAAATAGAAGAAAATAAGTGTCAAATTTTTAATAACAAATCTTTTTAAGCTATAATTTTTTTATATCATCATTCTTTATTTTTGAAAATTCCATGTAAAATTTATGTGCCCATATGTAACAGCTAAACATTTTTTTAAGTTGTCATGTTAAAATTTGAAACTTTATTATAAGCTTTTCACAAATTAATCTCAACTTTCATAAAGTTAGTGTGAAAGTTTGACGTATCTTGCGATCTAAAAATTCATCAAATTTAGATTTAAATTTTTATACCTACTTCTAGACACATAGGCGTGTCATTAAATTAAACTCTTGTCATAAAGAGGATCCATAAACTATAATTAAATAAGTAATAATATCCTCAGCTCATAAAAATATTATTATGAGAGAGAACTCTTCTTTTCCATTGTAAGAAAGCACGTGTCATGATGCTTTGGAAAAATATTTTGTTATAGTGGGATATTACCACGTGGTATTCACTGTTCACACAATAAAAATAGAATGGGGACCCGAGATGAGGGACACCTATTCAAGCCAAGGTTTGATTATATGCAGGTGCAAACTGACAAAATTGAATTGATCTGCCAACAATGACTGATAACGACTGACAATAATCTTGTTGGTAGACAATCAATAACTATCTCCACTAAGGGCCTGTTTGGATGCCTCAAAACCGTGGTTTCAGAAGCACTTTTCCGCAAAACGAGGTAACCTCCTCCACATATTTACTTCGTAATCCGTAAAAACACTTTTGAAACCATGGTTTGGTTTCTATCCAAACACCCCCTAAATGGTAAGAAAATCTCTGTCGTGAAAAATTTCATAACCGTTCCATTATTAATCTATCATCAAAAATTTCGTATGGGCCAAAAATTTCCTCGTCAAATTTTAGGATACCTTTTTCCAATTTTGTAATAAAATTTGCCACAGAAATAATGTTCATTACAAACCTTTTCATCATTACTCTAGTTAGCACTAATTTCGTTGCTAGCGATGCCTAAAAAATTTGGGGTGATTCTTGAAAATGTTCATGAAAATGACAGTTAAGGAGGGTCGAGATCTTTTAGTAATTATATGTTTGTACATGTGGTGTAGTGATTTTCCCATAACTATAAACATATATAACGAGAAAGCGTGCCTCTTATACTTTGATGTATTTGCACTATTATATATTATGCGTAATTTTGTGAACTGGAAAAGATACTTCGTTTTCTTGTATCGTTCTTATTTTTCTCTCGAGGGAACACTCATAGGAATATGTTATGAATTTGTTCTAAAAGTTTTCACTTAGGAGCACCGAGCATCAGAATTTGTTTTTTATGCAAATTTGTCCAAAAAATTTAAAATTATAGTAATATTACCTCCTATCATTAAAAAAAAAAAACTATTTACCATTAAAATAGTAACTTTGGCTATTGACATTTTTAATGATAGAAACAATATGATTTCAAATTTTGGGGGTAAATTTGCATCCAAAACAACTTCCAGCCAGGTGTCGAGCACTGGTAACAAGTATAAATGATTAAGAGGTTATATTTACACCTAAACCCAATGCTCATACCTCACACTTACTTCCCAATGCATTTGGAAAAAGGTCTTACATGAAAAACTCTCAAGAATAAATCAGTACAATGAATCTCCAAGCACTTGGAGATTAAACAAGCTAATGTTGGCTCAAGAATG